CCCACACCCACACCCACACCCACACCCACACCCACCCACACCCTACTGTCGTTCTCCTTACGAGTGTTATCTGCCTGGTAGCTAGTTATTTGTGGACTCTAAAGTCTCGTTATCATTATTTTATACGACACGGTTTACCAGGTCCACCACCACTCTTCTTCTTTGGTCACTACCGTACTCTTTGGTCTGTTCCCGCTCTGAGTAAACAATTGCGACGATGGACTCAACAATATGGTTCGATCTACGGATTGTTCCAAGGCTCACGCCCAATGTATGTCGTGTCCGATGTAAATTTCCTTCAAGAAGTCTATGTCAAACAATTTGCATCGTTCCATTCTCGTTCTCTTCCGTTCATTATAAAAAAAGCCACAGGGCACAGAGTCAATCTGTTAGGAGCAACAGGAGAAAAATGGCGTCGGCAACGATATGTCATCAATCCGACATTTTCCGGAGCTAAACTCAAATTAATGTCACCACTAGTCAATCATTGTATTCAAGCTTTGATGGACAAACTGAAGAGTGCAGCAGAGAAACATGAACAGTTCAATATCTATGTCCTGTACAAATGAGTGACAATGGATGTCATCTGTGAGTAGATTTTATCGAAATATTCCCTCCTGAAATTCTTTAAAAGATCGAGGTGAATAATTCTGTGTATGTTTTATTGAGGTCGATGTGCCTTCGGAATGGATACGGATATGCAAAATGATATTGACAATGCCTTCTTGCGTAAATCCCAATTGACTGTCGATCAAAATCCTGAACAGTTGTTCCTGATCAAATTAGGCAATTTGATGCCATTTTTGATTCCCGTTCTCACCTATATTATAACTGGTCAAGCATTGCTCTTACATCTCTTTCGAAAAGTGGCACCTACATGGTTTTCACCTCAGATCGAAGAACTTGCACGATTTTGGATATTGAAACGAGTTGAAAGTGTTATTAATACACGAATGTCATCGAAATCAAACGAAAGACAAAATCGAGTTGATTTACTTCAGCTCATGATCGATGCATCGACGCATGACGATATCAAAGTACATATCTCTCGGATTTGATCTAACTTCTCTCTCGGCTTTCTTTTTTCGTATAGGATGATGTAAACGACGAGTCGATGGAATCGAAAAAGTTGCATTATGATGAAGTAGTCAGTAATGTATTTTTTTTATGATTGCCGGATTCGAAACAACATCGATGGCACTGGGCTCATGCACTTACATTTTAGCCACCAGGAGTGATATTCAAGATAAACTTCGAGCGGAAATTGATGAACAAGAATGGAATGATGAAAATCAACTCGACTATGATCTTGTGATGAACATGATGTACATGGATTTGGTTGTCCGAGAAGTTCTGCGCATGTATCCAATCATAATAACGTCCATAAGCAGAGAATGCAATACATCGACCACTGTTTGCGGATATCAGATTGAAAAAGGTCATTTTCTGTTCTAGAAAATTTTTTCTGAATTCTCTTTTCAGGCAGTATCATTCAACCGGATATTCTCGCTGTTCACTATGATCCTGATTTATGGGGACCAGAAGATCCAAATCTTTTCTTACCGGAACGTCATCATGTGAAACGACATCCAATGGCTTACATGCCGTTCTGTATCGGCCCTCGAAACTGTGTCGGAATGCGTTTCGCATTGATGGAATTGAAAATGTGTTTAACTCAATTACTTCGTCACTATACAATATTGCCCGGTGAAAATATCGAAGAAGGATTCAAACATCGCGAAACACTTGCTATTCAACCCGATGCCATTTATGTCAAACTCGAAAAACGATAAATCTCTCTTATATAATTTATTCATTCATTTTTACATGTCCGTAGTTAGACTGAAATAGAGACAGATAAGCACGAATAATAGATTGCAGCAGAATAGATTGATAAATGCTTTCATGTTCATTTGCTTCGATTCCACAACAAGTGAAAAAGATAGTATAGTAATGAATGTCAACGACAGTGAATAAATTATTGATACAACAAGCAGGAAATAGTGAGTAAAAAGAAGACTAGGTCTTCCAACGTCAAGTGAGTAAAAATCTGCTTGTAGCAATAGTAAGATGGTTGGCTTCTTGATTGCAAATGTTCTAGTGTTCTACGAGATTGAAGTTGAATTTCGATATGCAACTACTTGACAGTTGATGGAACAGTTGAACGGTTCTCGGAACATGTGGATTTCATTTTTCTTCTAGTCAATAATCCTTTTCAATGCATATTCTACTTGTCAAGGCATATCTTCTGTACACTTAAGAGCATTTTCGTCGAAAAGAGATCCTAGAGAAATCTTTGATAGGGTGTGAGTGTGGGTAGGTGTGGGTGTGGAGTGTAGTTGTGGGTGGGTATGGGTGTGGAGTGTAGTTGTGGGCGTGAGTGAAAAGGAAATTCAGACACAGACCCACATCAACATCCTTCATAATAATAAATTTCATAGGCCAAATATATATTGAAGCAATAAAAAAAACTTAGTTAGAACGAAAGTACACTGGGAGACGAACGAGATATCCAAGACTGGGCACGAATCTGAGAATAAACACGTTTAGAAATGTAATAGACGTCAATATGAACGGTTTTTCCTTCAAAATAACAACCTATTCATTTGAAAAGTGTCATCAAGGACATATAGCGTTCATCTAAGACTCGATGTACCATACGAGGGCCATTCTTATTACACAACGTGCGTGCCATGTCAAAACGTACCGTTTTTGTTTTTTGTATTATAAAAACGCATTTTTTTTAAGTAGAAAGTACTAAAAATATCGTAATAAAGTGTTCTTGACCATTTTTTGTCGTTGTTTTTCATGGAAAGACATTGCATGAAGATCAGTGTGACACTGCATGATACCCAGACAATAAAAACGTTCTGAATCTATTTGATAATTATTGTTCGATATTGAAAGCATTTTTTTATGGTTTATGTAAAGTCAATATTATGAATCATTTAAAAGTTCTATATCTATTTCATTATCATTCTCAGAATATTTCATCAATATTTTCTTCATCATCCATAATTTCGTCTATTTCAAGTTCAATGGTATTATTTGAGGATATGAGTGTAGAGGATACTCACATTCACATCCACACCATATGTTTCTTTGAATTGATAAAGTCCTATCGATCATCTAGTAGCTATCAATAGTGAATTGAGCAGTTTTAATTGACTTGATACTCTTCTATTCTATGTTTGATACATCTTCATGGCTTATCCATTGATTACTTATATTGTTATAACAGCTTAAAAACTAAACTGCTTTCAAATATCTTTGACATATGCACACATGTCTCTCATCTTAACGCTCGTATAATTATGTTGAACTATATTCTATACATACCTTTTTAATCATCTTCAAATTTTATGATTTTCAACGAACTATGACACAACATATTTGAATTATAACTGATGGATACGATTGTCTAATGTATATACAAATCATTTTCATGTTTTTCATACTCAACATTCGTAAAGTTGAGATAGATTAAATTGCTGACTGTTGATAAGACTTTTTCTCAAGTTCGACTTCACGAAAAAGTTTCGTACTGCTATCAAAAGATAAAGAATTTTGTGCAAATTTCACTGATATGTTCTTTTCATAAATATATATAGTGTTCTTCTATAGAACTCAACGTAATAAATGGCACGAAAAAAAAACGCTATTTGCTTAACCAGTAAATCAGAAATCTGCATAGGCCAATTTTCAGTCAGCTCGATTGACTTTAAAAATTTCGTTCTTCTAGTGAGATATATAGATTATTTTTGTATGTCTTATTGTGTGTTGTTACATTTCTTAAGTTATTTTCTCACAACTTGACCTCACAAAAACGATCCCTTTTGTATAAATAGATGCAGAATTTGAAGCTCTAGAAAATGTATTTCTTTATATGATCAGATACCATTTCTAAGCAAATAATAAACTTAAAACGTTTTTGTTTACATGAAAACACATCAAAATGAGATAATTAAGAATATTTTGTAGGAGATTTTAAACATAGTAAGACCCAGTCCTAAAACAAATTTTGTGACTCAAAAAAAAACATACATTTCTATACTTTTTCTTGACACACTTGAGTAACATATAGAAAATTGCTGAGCAGATAAAACTAACATTTTATTCCAGTCAAATTCTGAATAAATGATATTTTGCTGCAGCGAAGACTTTTAATGTTGCAAAATGAACGATATATATTTGTTTAAAAGAGAATATATCAATAAAATCTGCATATAATTCTCTACCTGACAGTACCAGTACGAAACTTCTTGAACAAGTCTAACTGTAGAAAAAATTGACAATTTACTCTATGCCTCTCGTTATTATGTTAAGTATAAAAATGAGCAACGTATAAAGAAAGATCTAATTAGACATAATTTATGTCTTCGTTTTGGAGAAAATGACTATGAGACTTTGAGTATGTAGATGATACAGTAGACGTATTAAAGTTGTGGAATGTTTTATTCAATATTACCATATAGGCATGAAAAAAAATTCTTTCAATGTTAATACCGAATTATTTCATTTTTATTTGATGAAGAAAGAATTAGAAAGTCTTAATATATATGAATGATGGTCAAGACAAAAATTCATTCCATATTGAAAACAATGCATATGAAGTTTAGGAATGTCAGAGTCCTCGTTCCTTTAGGTTTCGCCGCTAAAGAACTGAATCTCGCTTAAAAATTGGTGTCCATAAGTTTTTTAACCATCTTGAAATTTTTAGATACACTTTATCGTTTCAATTTATGTCAAATTGGTATAGATTCCGAGTTTCAGAAAACACAACCCTGATAGATAATTGTTCAGTCGAATGCCCAGATAGTGATGAGTTCATCATCTCTACTAATAATTCTATGCTTCCTAACTTGATTACAACTTATCGAGATTTCAAACATTCGCCTTTCAAAGTGACTGTTTTCTATTGAAAAAAGAAAAAGAAAAAACATAAGATGATTTAATAATGAAGTCTAATCAAATTTTTATATATGAATATGTTATTTAATATATTAATTGATTGTCGAATTAATCTCAAGACAACAAATCTCTTACTTACGATTATATTCAATAATGTATAAATATAAATTCATAAATAATTGTTACAGATCGAAATGATTCATATACGATAAATAGTAAATAGGTACCATTTACTTTCAATCTTTGACTCGCTTATTAACCGATAATGTCAATAACCAGCTTTTTTTCTCGAACATATGTTTTATATGAATGAAAAAAAAATATCGACTATTTTACTTGAAGATATTTCTTAAGGTAAATATGTATACGTATAACAAGGTAAATATAAATGTTTAGAAAAGAAAAATATTTCTAAAAAGAATATTATTTTCAATTGACTGAATCTATCGAACTTTGTTTTTTGTTATTCTGATTCGAATGAATCATTTCGATCAACCTATATATATATATATATTTAATAGATGTTTATGATCAATATATTACCTTTTTCATAGAAATAAATCATTTTATATTTTTTAATGATTTCATTTCATTTTTATTATTTATTCTTTTAGATATTTTAAATCTAAATAATATATTAATTATAATAACAAAAAAAAGATGATTAATGATCGATTTGTGTGTCCAAATGATCGTCGATTAGAACTTCGATCAAAGTATATATTTATTTATTTGAATTATTATTTTAATATAAAATAAATTTATTAGAATAAATTTCGGTTGGTCATATTATACAAATATTCTATCATTAAATCGTCAATTGAATTCTAATATATCAAATAATCTTAATCAAAAATCATTAACTAATCAAGAAATCGAACATATTGATAATGTTCTTAAACGTAATCAATATATTCAATATATCGAACAAGAACGTATTCGGTAGAATTTTTGTTTTTCTTTTATTATTATTATTATTATTTTCTTTTTTTTTAAATTATAAGTAAATTAATTGATCGTCTTGATAAAATGAAAAAAAATGCAACTGGTAATGGTTTATCTCAATGTTTGTTATGTTCTAATAAAAGAGGAATATTATCTCGATCATTTTTTTCATGTGCTAATTGTCAAAAAGTAATGTGAATATAGAAATATATATATATATATATTTTAAAATAAATTTTATTTATTATTAGTTAGTATGTGATAATTGTTCAATTCAAACAAATTTTAATCAAAATATTGTATCATTATGTAATATTTGTAGTGAAAATCGTCAAGTTAATACTTTTTATCTTAGCTAAATAATTAATAATCAATTATTTTATTCTATTCTAGTTATGGAAAAAATCAGCTGCATGGTTTTTTCATTCTTTACCTAAACCTTCGAATGTTACCTTTGATATTAATTCCTCTTTATCATTTCAATCATCACAATATATCAGAACAAGTTAGTTAACAACTATTTATATAAGGTATATATATATATATATATAATTGTTTATAGGTGATGCTCAATCGATATCTGATCAATCAAGTTCAGATAATGATTCGATTACAGATCGATTTAATAAAAAATGTTAGTCTCGAAATAGTTTTATTAAAAAAAAAAAGAAAAGTATTTTGCTTTAATTTAGTGATATCAAATAATAAAAGTTTAAATCAATTTAAACAATTAAATGATAATCAAGATGAGATAAATAAATGTGACGATGATGATAAAAGAATTTATTCATTTAAAACTAATAAACTAACTTCAAAAGGTAGATAGACATTTATTTCAGTCATTCATCTTTTTTTTATTAAAATAGAAATCTTTGTTTTTTAAGAAGATTCAATTGATGCATATTTATCAAAATGTGAATTAGTTAGATCATCAAAAGATTCTTATATAAGATTATCACCAATAAATGAAGATTGTGGTTCGAATTTTCTTTTTTTTCATATTTATTTTAATAAATATATTTATTTGATTTGAAGGATTTGGAAGATTAGATTTTGAAATTGTTTGGAAACAATCTGAATATAAATTAATAATAAGATTATTACGATTAGACAAACTTCGATCAAATAATCAAAATCAATATTCTTATATTTATCTTAAATTAGATCTTCTACCAGCTATGCACAAAGTAAATTTAACTTCATTTTATTTTTTACATTTTATTTTCATACCATTTAAAAGAAGATTTATCAAAAAGAATTTTCTTTAAAAAAAAACATATTCACTTCGATTTGTTAGCGTTTTTATCAATATAGTATATCAATCTCACTTATTTATGTTATTGTTTCTCGAGATAAATTTATCTAAATAAATTGATATCGAGAAAGATTTTTAGAAAAACTAAATAAAGTAAAAATTTCTCTTTTAATATGTCAATAAATGAAATTTTTAATTAAAATATCTAAATAAACTCTTAAATGAATAATTTATATTCAAATTAAATATATGAATGGATAAAGATAAATTTGTTTTCGATGATAAATGCATTATTAAATATGATTAGTCAACTGAATTAGAAAGTGGTATGATTGGTAAAAGAATAAATGGTGATATCGATGAGACACTTGTTTATGATGATGTATCATTAGATGATATCAATTATAAATCAGTTAAGTAAGATAATATTTATTGAAATAAAACTAATAATGTTGTTTTTTAATTTAAAAAAAATCAAATAAAAAGATTCTTGGTCTATGATAAAGATTCATCTGTTAATCACTTTCTTGGTGAATATCGTTTTAAATTATCAACAATTCAATCTGATCAATATCAGATTTATTCGGTTTATTTACAAAATAAAACTGATGTAAGTATTTATTATATATATATATATAATATTCATTTATTGCTTTCATTCGTTTTGTGATTAACTGCCATCCATTTCAAAATCGAAGGCGAGTGATTACGAGTCGAATAACTCGGGAACGGAAGCAACTATGGAAAAATTTCATTGGTCAGTAATGGACCAATAGAATAAAAGTCTACTGGACATTTTGAAGATAGCTTTTGGAACGCTTTTTTCGTTGGATTTTGAACTTGAATTAAATCATTCAATAGAAAAAACTTGTTCTCTTTCGATCTACACAAGGCCAAGCTCGATATCTTGCTCTGTTCGGTAGCTATAAGCATTTTTCTGAGATCTCCGAAATCAGCCAAGTGACGTGTAATCACACTTAAAAGCATTACATTATAGGTAATATGACCACGCTGAATTCAGTGGTGATGTTTGTTTTCTATTTCAAAGTACTCTGAGATCACTGTATCGAGATTTTCAATATACGTATTATTTACATCAAATAGCAGCAAAAACTAGATTTACGAAAACTTTTGTATAATGATCTTAGGTTACTTTGAAATGAAAAACAAATATCACCACTGAATTCAGTATGGTCGATTACCTATAATGTAGTGCTTTTAAGGGTGATTCCGCGACACTTGGTCGATTTCGAAGATCTCAGGAAAACGCTTATAGCTACCAATCAAAATCCAACGAAAAAAGCGTTCCAAAAGTTATCTTCAAAATATCTTCTTAATGGTGAAAATCGCAGCTCCATAGTTGCTTCCGTTCTCGAGTTATTCGACTCGCCTTCTATTTTGAAATGGATAGGAGATATAGTGAAACATATGTTGGATAAATAGCATTGATTTGTTATTGTAAAAATTTATTAGTATAATTGAAATAAATTTCGATAAAATAAAAAGTATTTAAATGTTTTTTTTTTGAGATATGTTCGATTAAATATTGAAAAATTGAAATAAAATTGCTTTAGTGTGAAAATGATGAAGATATAAATGAACGTGGAAAAATTTTAATTAGTCTTATGTATTCAAATGAAACATCAAATTTTCATGTTAAAATAAAACGTGCTTGTTATTTATTGCCAATTGATATTGATCGTAAATCAAATCCTTATTGTCGATTATGTTTATTTTCATCTGATCATTTATCGAACAAATTAAATTTTAAAACAGATATTAAAAAACAAACTTTGAATCCACAATTTAATCAAGAATTTATTTATAAAGATATTCAATTAAAAAAATTAATTAAAAAAACATTACAAATAACTGTTTATGATAAAGATTTTGGAAAAAAATACAATTTTATTGGTAACTAGATTTTATCTATTTATTAATAATTATCTCGACTTTTCTTCGATATAGAAACAAATTAGATCTCAAATATAAGCACTTGAACTCTAATATTGAAGTTTATTTATTAGAAATAAATCATTTTTACTAGATTAAATAATTGATTATTAAATGTCTTATTTTATTAAATTTGATTAGCGATAGTTTAGTTCAACAATTAAATAATACTTTTGTTTTGAAAAGTTAAGAGATAAGAATTGAATGTTAATTTATTTTAAAACAAATAACTAAATAAGATTTCTCTAATACTAGGTGGATTTCGAATAGGTCAATCAGAAAGTGGAGATTATTTGAAACATTGGTTCTTAATGATAAAATGGCCAAATCGATCAATTGATACGTGGCACAAATTAAAAAATGAACATTTTTCAAAACATATTTATATGATCAATTATTTAATTATCAAATTTTCAATGGAATTCGACAAAAAAAAACAAAATAAATTGCTGTTTCGAATAAGAATTTATCTTCATTGAACAATAATCCGTCTTAACAATAATATATTCCAATAAATGTTCTTTATTATCTTTCTTTTCTCTTTTTACATTACTATTCACTAAAAACAATTTTCTTTATTCTTCTTTAACATATGTATCTTTTTCTCCATTATTATTTTATTCGACATATTATATCCTAACGTTTATTTATCAATAATATATATGACCTACTCTGCACAATCGACGTCGTCAGAGTTTGCTTAATTTTATACATGTTGTCGAGGCAAGAGTTCTTACAATTTTGACGCAAGTCATTTGAAAAAATACTTTTCTGTTCTCGAGATATTTAAATTTGTCTCAGGTCACCATCGCCAAAAAAAAACGTGCATTTTTTGTGATTTTCTATGTTTCATCAAGTATACATGTCTTTTACTTGAAATTTTTATTGTATGATGACTTGACCAATACTACAAAGTACATGACAAAATTGTTATTTTTTTAATATTTTTTGCACTTGCATATTTCATGAATGCGTAAAACCAGAGAGCTGAAATTTTGGCCACAATGAGTTCTCATTCCTCTAAAAACTTCAGCTCTCTAGATAGTTCCTACCGTTCAGGAGACTTTCATCAAAAACTTCGTTTAGATTAAAATCATGATCTTGAAAGAGTCCGATCCAGAGCAAAATCAAATTTATAGAGGTCAATCTCATGCAGGTTTAAAGTACCTATTGAGTACTACGGAGTTATGAAAAAAAATTGACGTACGATCTCAAAGAATGGTTTTAGGAGACTTATTGAAAAATCTTCAACAATGAACCCTTTTCTGTAGGAAATTGACCTAAGCTCGCTTAAAAATTATTCAAAGAGTTTTATCATATCGATTTTGTGAATCAATAGTGCATTCATTTAAGCTCATTTTTTTCTCAATACTACAGAGTAGTATCTTGCAAAAAATTTCAATATCTCAAGAACGGAAGAACAATTTTTTTTCAAACGGTTTGCATCAAAATTCTGGATACTCTCACTCCTACAACACATATTAAATTGAGCAACATCGATTGACCTCGATCGAGCAAGTTTACAGGTTTGTTTGGCTATTTTCTTTTTTTTTTTAAATGAATTGAAATAAACTAGACGAATGCTCATCAACAATGAGTACAATGGTTAGCGAACTTCACATCAGAGTTGTAACCGGTAGGGTTTTTTCCTTACCGGTACCGGTACCGGTCTAACTGGTCAGACCGGACCGGACCGGCCGGTATACCGGTATAAATTATTCTTCTGTTTTCTGATCCTATAACGCTCAAATCAATACCTAGATGAGTCATATATTCCTTCTAATCACTACAGCTATGATATAAAAGTACTATTTCGCCACTGCAGTGCTTTTTACTATTTGCTTTCATATATGTCCTGTTTCTCGATATCTGTTGGTGAGCACAAAAGTTCATACGACCATAAATTCTATGTTAATTTTGCACTTTGATTAACTATTCATCAAATATGGGCTCTATTTATTGCTCGTATGCTATACTCGCTTTGTCATCTTTCGTGTCTGTCAGGACTATATGCAATAAATAATGGGAAATACAAATAAATCCATGATAAACTACGATGCTAAACAATTAATCATTTGATTTTATTTGAACAACACCGATGTGGTTCAGGAAACGACACTTTGTCGGTTAAAATAGTTTTTATTGACCAAAACTATCGTTTATCATACCTAAACGTCGTTTCAAAACAGAAAATAGCTGGAAATTGACCTTCGTAAACGCTACGGAAACGTTTCTGTATGCATTTGAGCTTATATACACATAATAACATTTCTGTGCTGTTTACGAAGGTCAATATCCAGCTATTTTATTTTCTGAACCACCGTTTAGGTATGATAAACGATAGTTTTGGCCAATAAAAACTGTTTTAAATGATAAAATGTCGTTCCTTGAACTATACGGGCAGAACGTCGTACCCACATGGATTGGATAAATATAAAAACATCCATGACAAATTTTGACTCAATAGGATAGTTTGATACAATTTTTTTTACCAAAATAGTCTTCGACATTAGTAAAAAGTTTTTGATTTTCGAAAAAAACCACCTTTTTCATCATTTTTTCGGAAAAAAATAGGGAAAAATTAAAAAAAAATTCAGACCGGGCCGGCAAAGAAAAAGTTGGTTCTACCGGCCGGTATACCGGCCGGTAAGAAATCTTCTACCGGACCGGACCGGACCGGACCGGAACGGAACGGAACGGACCGGCCGGTCTGCCGGTCCGGTTACAACTCTGCTTCACATCCTTCATTATCAATAAACCTAAATCGAGGTCGTTTCTTGTCAAACAAGTGAAAGTAGTATGTGTTGAAATTATTCAACAACAAGTATCAATAGTACAAATGATTCAATTCTTCATGATAAAACCCATATTAGACTTGTTTTTTATCTTTTATCATATTATACAATAAAAAAAATTTATTAGAAATTTTTTCTAGAAGTCAGGTCATTTTTACAATTCCTATTCTGATTCGAATATGTTTTCTAATGTTAGATAGACATGTGGCTATTACCCTCTGTTATGTTCGAAGTGTTCCCCTTCGAACATAAGACGGAACGAAACGAATAACACACGCTCCTTTCTAGTATAGTGGTAGTACAGCTGCCCGGAAAGCAGAAGACGTTGGTTCGATCTCATCGGAAGGAGATTACTCTTTTGTTCCGTTCTGTTGTCATACCATCACGTTGCTATCTCGGTGATAACAAAGAAAGAAAAAGAGACGACATAACACCCTCCTTGCTATCTCTTGATGCTTTAATAAAAATAGTATTTGATTCAATTTTAACTTGGTTCTTTTAAAAATATTTTCTAGGCAAGACAGTGATGCAAAGAGGAACCGACAAGGAGTGAGGCGTGGGTGTGAGAATGTAATTAGATGTGAGTATTTTCTTCTTCACACCCACACCAAAATGATCGTTTAATAAGTGGAAACGTCATAAAAGGAATAAAAGAATAAAATAAAGAAAACTCAATTCTAACGTCTATCCTTCACTTTTATTTCTATTAATGTTTATAAAGAATATCTTTATTAATTTGATCTATCGATGTTAATCCACAACAAGCCATATCATAAACTAATTCACGTTTTAATATATCTAATACTCTTCGAACACCATCTTGTCCGCCACAAGCCAAACCATATAAAATTGGTCGACCGATCAAAACAGCTCGTGCACCTAATGCTAATGCTTTTAACACATCAGTTCCATTTCGAATACCAGTATCAACAAATACTAAATAAATAAAGAATCGTTGGGTGATTTTCATAAGAAGAATTCGAAGTTTCATTCCTATATACACTTTTCTCTTTTACATATCAAGTTGATGGTGAAAAAATTTTCTTAAATTTGAATTATATCGATTGTGCCAAAATATTTACAACATTTTTTATTTCGGCTTAGGTGAATGATAGAATCTTGATCGTTTTTTAAAAAAAGGCATCGCGAAATACTTCACAAACATTGTATAAGCAGCAATCTCTACTGACACGCTCTGATGGTTTTTCTCATACTCAAAATGTACAACTTACATGATAGTACTACTTCCCATCGTGTCGAGCATAATAAAAATGTTTGGAAGATTTTTTTAACAATGAACCGCCGAAAGCTCTATAACAGCTGTATGAACAAATCTTTAGTGCGAAATAAAAAAAATCTTCCATAAATTTTTATTACGTACAATATGGTGAAAAGTATCACTATTCTGTAGATTATACATTTGTCGTATGGGAAAAACCATTAGAACATGTCAGTATTGATTTGTTAATACAAGTTTTGTAGAGCTTCTCATGGTGCATCTTTACAAAAAAATAAAAGATCAAGATTTTATTATTTTTCTGTGGAAAGATATTCGCAAAATAAACTATTTTGGCATGTTCGATGTATCGTTTATTTGTTGTTAGTGATGATGAAGTAGTAAATTTTAATTTTGCAGCCCTTTTTTGATGAAATAGAAATAACATCGTTTATCGATTTACAATTCAGTTTTTGTCATAAGATTTTTATCTAATGAGTTTGATACTTCAATAATAATTCCACTCTTGCACCTCAGAACATTACACATATAATATTATTTTCTTATTATCTCTGTTTAAACAAATACTTTATATAAGATTAGTTAATATAATTGTAATTAATGACGTTAGTTTGTGTAAAAGGATGTAGAAGCAATGTGTTTTTGTTGGTTGTTATATCTTTGAGACACTGCGACAGTTCTCTTTTTCTTTGTATTCTTTTATTGGTTCAAAATATTGCTAATAGCCAAATATTAAAAAAAACAAAAATCAACTCCTGAAATGAGGAGATTTTCGGTCGGGAGACAAGTCCAAATATCAGGAGTATCCTGGTCAAATCAGAAGATTTAGCAAGCTTGAGCTACTCCAACAATATAGAGAGTTTAACCAAATCAACGGTTTTTAAAAAAAGAAGCAGATAGATAACTTTTCTCATCTTAACTATGTCGAGACGTTTTA